TGGGCCCGCATCGCAACGGTGCAGTCCTGTCCGTGGTACCCGGAAGGCTAGAGGGGAGAGGGGAGCTTCCTTCTCTCCCCACCAGTCTTTCGTGTACTAAAGGGGAAAGAGTTTACAGCACTGGACGGGTGCGGTGTGCCCCAGACGAATAGGCCATGAGTATGATTTTGTCGGCTCAAGGGGGGTCCAAACAGGACACTACAAAACTCACGACTCCGGCAAATCGTGCCGCGCTCTGCCGCGATCCGTTTCTGGCCGTCGGAGGGAAGTTTCCCTCCGTCAATTCTTCCAGGGGGGAAACTTCCCTCCGTCAAATCTCCCCCTCGCTTTCTCCACGGCGGCCTTGCTCTGCTTATCACGTGGGTCCGGAGAGCCACTCACACGCTCTGTTGGCTGTCGGCCAATCGCTCAAGGCCTCCGCTCACAATACGGAACCGCATCGGACGCCATCGCGACGAAAGTGAATCTCGACAAAGAAAGCAGATCCGAGGCAGGCGAAACCCACCCTTCGACGCAGGAATGTCCCAAATCCACCCGAAGCCGGACCTCCTTGGCCTTCGAGCCGAGACGACGGCGGTACGCGAGGGCGTTGGCGAGGTGAGCCAGACGCAGGTGGCGTGTGACGTCAATCTGAAGAGGAGAGCAGTCGTGATCGTAAAAATTTTCACGACTCCTGCAAACATTTTCACGACTCCGACAGGCCGCAAAAATAGAAGCGACCGCTTCAATTTTCACGATTTGCCGGAGTCGTGAGTTTTGTAGTGTCCTGTTTGGACACCCCTTCGGGCGAAGTTTTCAGGGATGTAACCGTGTTCGTCCATCGCAACAAGGACCTGGAGGGCCTCGCACCTCCGCGTCCGGGGTTAGGAACCTGTTCGAATCGAAGGGTAAGAGGGGGGGCATCTCTATCGTGACAAGGCTCCTGTGTGCTAGAATGACCTGGTATATCCAGCTGATCCTAGGGAGACGCCCTCCTCTTTTCAGTTCTCTTGCTATAGCATTCGCGGCATGAGGACCACTGACCTCAATGACAATTGCTGGATCGCGCATCCCCGCTTTTTCGCTGCAGCGCGAGTGCGGCCACCGGACCGCCATCTTGCATGGTAAATGTTTTCGTTTTGCTAGCTTTTTGCTGCGGTTTTCCAGCGTGCTATAGACACGTTTTCTACTCGTTCGTCGTCATTCGCCGAAGACGTTCTTTAAGATCCTGGGTGAGGCGTGATACTTGCCTTTGAGGACACGTGGAAATTTTTACGAAAACGCAGTGTCGCAGGAAAAAGGCGCAATTCGTCGAAAGCAAGTTTTGCCGGTTTCTTCGGGGAGCAAATGGAAGTTCCGAGGACCAAATGTTGCCGTTAGTTCTTTGAGACCATCTTTTTTTTCTTAGAGTGTAGTTTATACCTGCTCGATCGACCACGAACATCCAGAAAGAGCATGCGCAGCACGCGACATAGAAGAAAAAAGGAAACAGAAAACAGATTGAAAAGTCACCCACCAAGACGCATTCCCCGATAGTCATTATCACACCAGCAACCCGGATAAAAACTGGACTTCACTCTCAGACAAAGAAACCGAGGTATCGCTAACACAGTTACGTCCCTTCTTTATATAAAACGCTTCCATCAGTTCTCTGGCTGTGCTATCTTTGCTTCTACCCAAGGTCCTGATCTCTTGAAATAGCGCCTCACACCCAGAGTCCGCACAGTGAGTTGGCAAGTGTGCATTGCCTTTATTCCTCATTGACAATTCATGCTCCCGTGCGCGGCCCTTGTGTCGCGCAAAAAAACAAAAAAACAAAAAAAAAACATATCATTAGTCTGCCGCAGTGAACGTCTGCTTCTCCAGAGTTAAAACTTAGCCGTTCTCTTTATTAGACTTCGGCATAGCGCCGCTTATCTAACTCCAATGGCGTGCGAACGACAGGGGGACAGACTTCCTGATTGTTTTGCCATGGGCGTAAAATCAAACAAAATTAAAGGATGTATCGAGGCGACCTGTCGAAAACTGAGAGCTTGTGAAAGAAAAGCGCGTTCACACTTGAAGTCGAAAGTGTAACGCGACAGTTTTTTTTTTTTTTTTTTAAAAAAAGGGCGGTTGTTTTTAGTCCAATTTTTCGGACCGGTCGCCGAGTCGCCCGGCGGCTGAACCAATCAGCAACTCCTCGTTAGCGACGTGTATTGCGCCTCCCGTTTGTTTACGTCTGGCACGCACTTCTGCGTGAGAAGCAACGAACAAGTCCGTCCAACGCCTCGGTTCGCGGTAGCGGCCATGAATACAGAGCCATGGAGGTCTCTGCGGCGACTCTGATAAGCGCTGAATACACCCTTTTTTTAGAAAAGCAGCACCACGATTTAAACGAGCGTTCGAAAAAAAAAAAAAAAACTCGGCCTGGCAGCTAATCTGTGCCAGTCTTGGCTCGACAGATGTACGTACTGCGCCGCGGTAGCTGGAACGAGTGCACGCCGTTGTAGCGATCTGTGCTTCATTGGATGGTTCCACAGAACCAAAATAAACGTAACAAGTCTCTTTTTTTTTTTTGAGCGCAGCTCTTAGGGGCCCGTTTCCGGCTTGAGCGGCGTCGCCGTCGGCGTAACCGCGAGGTCACGGGACGCCCTCCCCGAGGTCACGTGACCCCTCAGTACCGTTCCCCTCAGTACCCTTCCCTCCTCCTCCTCAAGAGCTGCGCTCCGATTCGGCGTTACAGGGAGTTGTAAACGGCTTTCATTTTTTCATATGGCAACAACGACACATGTCTAGCTGCGGGACGGCGAAAATGGGAAAGCAGCAAATCGGGAACCCGAGCTGGGAAGGACGGAATCGACTGTGGTTGCCGAGAGCTTCCGAGAAGTGACTCGCCGTTAGCGACTCGCCTATCGCCCGCAGTCTGAACGCTGCTGGTGGATTCCTGATGCGTGTCGCTCGCCGGTCGCGCGGCTGCTGCGAGTCGCAAGTGTGAACACGCCTTTAAGTCCCCCGTCATCCAGAAAAAAACAAGTTGAGCGAATGGTCTTTATGTATATGTATTCACGTATTTCTAGTTGAAGTTTATTGAGAAAAGCGTAGCTCTTGAAGCCCGGCATCCCAGTGTTGGTCTTCTTTACACAGTGCCTGAAATGAATCCAAACAAAAGCGGGGTTCAGTCCAAACAACGTGAGACTATCCCCAACCCTGAAAGGATCCTCTGGTGCCTCCGGCCAGAGGATCCTAAATTTCACCGCATTTTTTTTTATTCTATAAAGAATTTGGTGCGTTGACACACCAGATTCCCTAATTTCCGCTGACGCCCTTGGAAGCCTACGGAAGGATCTCAGCGAAAAGCGAGACTGGAAATATGTTTAGGCTTAAAGTGGAAGTTTGCGACGTGACGCATGAGCATCATGTTTCAGGTGCTTACATCATGCTCAGAGTCACAACGCAGACTATCCTCTTTTTTTTTTTTTACTTTTTTTTATATAAGCACATTTCCAAACTCGTTATTCGCAGAGCACCCTTCGCATATTGCAGCGTTTGGCTCCTTCAAGTTCTTTGCGGGAAAGTATAGACGCACCAGATTCCTAGAGTGTACCAGCATGTTCACGCTATATAGACGTTTGCAAGTATGGCCTCTGGGAGCCGCCATCTTGCTGCTGGTGTGGGCAGATCGTCTGATAACCAGGCATTGCTGAGGCGCGTATTCACGGTTTCCAGACTGGTGCCTAAACAAAGCTGTTCCCATTCACGGTGGCCAGACTAGCTCTCGAAGCGCAGCTGCGTGCCGCGCTTCGAAAGCGAGTGCCCCGTGGGAAGATATACGAACGGTTTTACTTTAGAAAGTATATAAACTCTAAAATAAGCCGTTCGTATATCTTCCCATGGGGCACTCGCTAAGCCGATCGATGCATTCTAAGGATAGAGCTAGGACAATGAGGATGTACAAAAGTCGTTTTCATCTAAAACTGAGGTTTGCGGTGTGTCAATAATCACGGCAAATTACATGCCAACGTCGTGCTCGGTGTCATATCTAAAACATGGTGGTCAGATCGATTAGTTTTTTGGGTCTAGCCATTGCACCTATCGTACCTCTGACCGTTATGAATGACTTTGATAACACAATAAAAGTATCCGGCATATTTAGAGTGCATCTAACAAATCACTATAGCAAATGTTTGCTCTGAAAACCCAGACAGATTTTAATTAAGGCAAATTTTTGAATAAAGTTTGATGACACTACTAATAAGAAGTGAAAAATAAAAATCTAAGTTTATAATATTACAACGAGGTACTCCTTTTCAATAACTCTTTCTTTTACTATAACTTTTTTTTTCTTGTTTTTTACGATACCAAGTTTTTAAACTTTTGCTGTACCGAGTGTTTGAGAGAAAATATATTTGGGTATTTGTTCAAAAATAACCTACGTATCTCCAAACGCTCCGACTAAATGTACCCCAGCAATTCGGACCACGGCAGGTGTCGAAGTTTTAAAACTTACATTCAACGGGTGTAAAAGTTATAAGCCATTTTCGGAAATGTTCCACGAGAAATTGATGGTCAAGGAAGCCCGCGAAAACGAGAAGTTGAACGAAGTCCGCTACAAAGAACGGGTGTCTTTTGCCCACAGAAATCCTCCGAAACTCGTTTATAACTTTTGAATCAGGTAAAGCTAAGATTGAAAACCTTTCTCAGCTCGTCCCAGTGGGTGACTTCAAACCTGGGCGGGGGGACATAGCTTTCTGAGTTGCGGTGTGAATGAAATAAAAACAAAAAAACATGGTACCGTTTTCTCCCAAACACTCTGTACTTTTAATGAACAAAAGGTAAGGTCGCAAACGAGCTGGTGGTGGTTATACATTTCGACAAAAACCCCGAGACTGGGTCAGAAAGGGATGGACAAACACAAAGTCTCAATAACTTTCTGTTTGTCCGTCCCTTTTTGACCCAGTCTCGGGGTTTTTGTCGAAATGTGTACTCTGTACTTAAGTGAGGGTGTCCTGTGCGGTACTCACAGACAGTTGCAACTCGGAGCTGAGACTGGACAGTTTCCACCTGGTCTGTCACCGGGTATCCCGTATAATCCGTCTGGTTCAGCAGTTTGCTGAGGTAGCACCCCACGTCGTTGTACACTATCATGCTTGTCATCATCGGCTGAAGATTTACCAGACACTACAACAGAATGGAAGACCCAAAGACAAGCATTGAATGTCACTCACGGGTAGACCGATTCAAATAGACTAGAATGAGTAGACAGACTGCAGGAGGAAGGGGTGAGAGTGTGCGGACACATCAGAGCGCCGAGCGACGCAGGTGTTCGCATCTTTCAGCGATGGTGCTACCGCGGTGTGAATTGATTGATTGATTGATTGATTCGTGCCCGCCGTGCCAATCTGCCACCTCCTCTCCGCGCGTGGGTATGGTGAGCACAGTGTGGCGCGTCCCCGACAGTCCGTGAAAGTGGCGAATATACGGCGGGCAAGTGTACCAAAATGCGCCTTGATCTGGCACATCGGATGGCAAAGAAGGGCACGGCAATCAAACGGCATCATAAAAATTGCGAGCAGAACCAGCTGTGTTGCTGTTAATTAAGCGATCAGCGGCAGACATAACTGAAAGAACCGAGGCAGGTCGGACGTAAATTTTCCGGCTAAATTTAACGCATAAACTGAATTTGAGTGTGGGATCCCGTGACATCATGCCATATGACGTCATTTTCCCCGCTAAATTTAGCGGGGAAACTGAATATGTGTTGAGGCCGTGACATTAAGTCATGTGACGTCATTTTCCCCGCTAAATATAGCGGGGAGACTGGATTGGTGTCGAGGTCAGGTGACGCCGACTTCCTGCCAAATCAAGCTGGAAAACTGAATTTTTGCGTAGGTCACGTGACATCAATTGTTTCCTTCAATTTAACGAACAAACTAAATTTCTGTATGGGTGACGGCAAAAAAACAAAATAGGAAAGACGGAGAACACGAGGGAGATTTTATAAACAACGGGAAATTAGAGACATCCTTCATCGTCGAAAAGGAAAATCTTACCACGAATTCGTCCGAGAGAAGTCGGCTAAAGGTCGGCTAGAAAATAAAAAAACACACAAAAACAACATGAACACATGTAAACGGTGTTTGACGGAAAATCAAACATTGGTCATCTTTTATGTTCCGATCAAGGTTGGAAATTACACCTATTAGTTACTTGAAAGCCCCACAACTCATCGTAACTTATTTGTGTAGATTGTGCTCTTTCTCCTCAGGCCAAAAATGTACGTTAGGATACATCAGCCGTTCATAAAAAGACCAAACGCCTCTTTAAATATCACTGCTTAGAAACCAGCTTGGTGCGGCTATCATTCAAAGTATTTCGATTATCACTGTTAAGGTACGCGGGGCGAGTCCTGGGCATAATCTGATCTCTCCGCAGCCAATCAGCTTACAGCGTTAGCCAATAGGAACGTCGAAGGACCAATCAGGAACCGTGAACATGATAAGCATGCACGTTGACGGTCCGATGGGATTGTCAACAGCGCACCGATATGGTGTTCGTGTCACGTTTTTGTATACGTGTTCTATTATCGCTGAACAAATAATGTACAGAAAAGGCCCGGTGACTTGTATTTTTAACGCTGTCTGACGCATGGTCCTAGCTCGTAGCGTCAGCTGCTGCGTCTGGGTCAAAAGTGAAACGAAGTACGGGAAGTTCTCAAGAAAAGAGAACCGTGTTTTTCGGCCCGTGTATATACAGGGTGAAACAAGGAGACGGCAGGCTTTTTGAATTGACCGCAAAATTCGGTTTCTTAACCTATCGCGCTACGACTTTGTGCAGCGTTGCCCACAGATGGTGCATTTTTTTGGTAAAATTTGCAAAGAGCGAACTTACCTGAAGAAAAAGTAAAGAAAGAAAAAGGCTTAGCTCCTATGGAAACGCAGCGACGCCACCGGTGTTCAAACAAAACGGCGCCGTTTCGCACGGGAGACAAGAGATGGCGCAACGAACGCCGCCAACGAACGAGCATACGGCGCCAAGAGCCGAATCAGACGATCTTTTCACTCAAAAGCGGCGCGCGTTCCGCAGGCGCGACAGGCGCAGAAACAAAAAAGACAGGCGCGGTAACAACAAGGGACTGCAGTTCCTTGTCTGCAAAAAGGCCGGCTCTCGGCGTCGTCTGCTCGTTCGTTGGCGGCAGTTGGCGTCGCGACCGCTTACGCCATCTCTTGTCTCGCGTGCGAAGCGGCGCCGTGTTGTTTGCAGACCGGATGCGTCGCTGCGTTTCCATATGAGCTAAGCCTTTTTCTTTCTTTACTTTTTCCTCAGGCAACTTCGCTCTTTGCAAATTTTACAAAAAAAAAATGCACCATCTGTGGGCAACGCTGCACAAAGTAGTAGCGCGATAGGTTAAGAAACCAAATTTTCCGGTCGATTTAAAGAGCCTGCCGTCTCCTTGTTTCACCCTGTAGATAAGGCAATACATCGCAGAGAGCTCAAGCTCCGTGCGAATACGACGCCAGCGGTTAGGATGAAACACGAAGATTTGAAAAAAAAAATGAAGTCACCTGAATCAAACGATAACTCAGAAAAACGAAATTCTCTATGAGCCGACGTCCGCCTAAGTCTAATGTCTTCAAAACAAAAAAAATACATTGTGGTCCCCTGTAGCATCTATTTCAAAGAAAACGAAATTGTCATAAAGAAAGAAAACAATATTCCCGTCCTTGATGACGGGTGTTTTTCACTGATATAAGTCTCACAAGCGTTCAAAATATATAATTCGTTGTCTTGGCGATATATATAGGGTAGGGTGTCTCAATTCACCAGGCTCGATCTAAAATGGACCGCGAAAATCGTCGCCTGCACGAAGAAATCTGGACTTTTCGTTAAAGATGTATTTCACCGGTCGTTTTTTTTTTTGTGTGTGTGTAAAATTACAAAGCGTAGCTCCCTTTCTGTAAACAAATAGTGCCAAGAAACTTGCCAGAGTCAATGGCGGGCGGCGACGCAGATGACCAAGTCGAGTTGTAGGGTGTGTTTGGCGCACGTACTGATAGATGGCGTCGGGAGCAGTGTCCGAGGGTGTAGCCGACCAGCGAAAGAAAGCAGACGACACGCAACGAAATCCGTTGGCAGCAAAAGCGCCGTCGTTATGCAAACGCTTTTTTTTTTACTTAAGTTTTAATTTTATTGTTTGCATTTGTATTTAAATCAGAGGTACATTACGAAAATATGTTGTTCATTTTAATAAACCACGGTGGTCGCGAGCAGTCTCGATAAAGAGGTAGCGTCATCTATCAATATGAGCGCCAAACACACGCCGCAGCTCTACTTGGTCGTCTGCGTCGCCGCCCACCGTTGACCCTGGCACGTTTCTTGGCACTATTTTTTTACAAAACGGGAGCTACGCTTTCTAATTTTACAAGTAAAAATCGACCTGTGATATGCACCTTTGACGAAAAGTTTTGATTGCTACGTGCAGACGTCGATTTTTACGGTCCATTTTAGGTCGAGCCTGGTGACTTTGGACTTCCTATATATTTGAGCGATAAAGCAAACAAAACCACGGAGTAATTTTGCAACTTAATGGCGAAAACCTTCCCACGCAGATTGGTTGCTAATGCACATGCGTGAGCTGGCGCGTGGCGGGTAGGATAGGGGGTGGAAGGGTTGAGCAGGGATAGGCTAGGTGGCGCAAGCTACCGCCCGTTACAAAGTGCATGGCCATTAACACCCATCCATCCATCCAGGGACGCTTGCAGGCGATCAGCGCCTTTGACTCCTCCTTGCAGCTCGTATCACAAACGCGGCCCGTAAACCACGTGATTCCGGTCGAGCAGTTGGGAACACTCTCAAATCTAGGCACACTATAGTCACTAATAAGATAAGAACGACAAGGTGGGGAGCTTCGGTTGTCCCGTCCCGTCTCCAGCGCAACTGCTGCTACCTTCGACAATGCTTCCGTGTCTCGTGAACCTTGAGCACACACGCGCAGCCAAAGCACGGCGGAAGGCATGCATGGGAGCATGCTGAAGGCCCCGCGTTCGAAATGCACGCTCTGCCGTTCTTACTCTATCCGCGACTACAGTCGTAACCTAACTCCACCATTGCGGAAGAAATAACGTACGTCCGTAGGTGGAACGCCTTGGCAGGCTTCATTCGGCTCGCACTGAAAGTCAATAAATTGAAAGCAATGTGAAACCATTTTCAGGAATAAATAAAGGGTGCAACCGTAGCGAGTGCGTGCCAGAGCTGTGTTAATTGAACGTAATAAACTCGAGATTTCGATATGCAAGGTTTTTGGGGGCGAAGCTCCTTAGGGTTTAGCCTTGTCCGGCGTCCGTGCTCACATCGATTGCCATCGCATCTGTCTTCTTAAAAAAAAAAAAAAAAAAAAATGTTTCCGCAGTCGACAGGATTCGAACCTGTGCGGGGAGACCCCAATGGATTTCTAGTCCATCGCCTTAACCACTCGGCCACGACTGCGGGACGGGTAGGGGGCTCTGAGATGCGGTATAGTAACTCAAGAGCTGGGGATGTCATGGATGAAACGTTGCATGTAGCCGCTCAACGTCTATACAGGAGAGGGCGCTGCGGTCAAATGCGTATATAATCGCGTTAAACTTTGCATGCATTGGCTCAATGTTTATAGACGAGAGGGCGCTGCGGTCAAATGCCCAAAAAATCAGTATCATCAGCACCACCAGAGCTTCCTCCCAATCAACATCATTCACCACGTAAAGATGCGGTCATTTTTTCTTTATTTTTTTTCTCAGCTTTATAACTTTCTTAAAAAAAAAAAAAAAAAACATGAAAATCTGCCTAAGCGCGGTTTGTGCAGGCGACTTATACGGCCAGGGGGACATATTAGAGAGGGCCAATCGTCGCAATAATTCGGAAAATAACCTAAGATTTGTTCATTAACTTTTCCATTCACGAAGATAAATATAGGTTTAGAATTACAAACTTGCTGACTGAGCGTCATGGAAATCCTCTAAATCAGTAAAGTTTGGAGGGACTTGAAGCACGTAAGAAGCGCGTTGGTGCGCCAAAAATTAGCACACGTGCAGTCTTGTACACGCTACCCAAAAAAAGTAATCGATTACAATTACTATTACTCTTGGCTAAAAAGCATTCGATTAGATTACTTCATTACTCGACGGCAAAAGTAATTGGACATTACTTAAAGAAGTAATGGTTACTTTTCCGGTTACTTTATTGTGTGAAGACTTACATCTTTAGCGCTCATAACAATGAACTACTTTTGCACAAGTATTGAAGAAGAAAAACTGGCTCCCTTTTCAGTGGTCGTTGCACCTTCACAATGCGGACACAAGCATAGAATTCGTTTGAAGACGTTTAATGATTTGGGCGTTCGCCAGTGTGTGTGTGTGTGGGGGGGGGGGGGGGGGGGGGGAGGGGGCGGAGGGGGTTCTAGATCTTGTTAAGCTTGAGCGAGGGTTATCGCTCAAAGTTTGCGTCGCTCATTTTATTATTCACATGTGGATGAGCTCGCACGTTATACAAAAGAGCAGCAGCTCCAGGATTGGAAACGGATCATGTGAAGTATCCATTAGCGGAAGAGATCGCCCCGACCACTTCTCAACTCGAAACATTGCTTGTCACAAAGACTACGAGGGGAATTTTGGAAATATTTCAACTGTCTTTGTTAAATTTTGCATCCGCTTTAGGCATCTTCGGTTCTGGTTCTCCTACGGGCTGCGAGTAGGTACCCTAAGCAGGATTTTTTATTTTTTTTATTTCTGTGTGTGTGTGCGTGAGGGGGCTAGTTTGAACGGACTCACAAAGCTACATTCTGCTTCCCCAAACTTCACCCTGAATGGCCGTTGTCGCGCACTGTGGCTTTCCTGGGGCTCTCCACTCCAAGGCCCAGCTCGAAAAAAAAAAAAGAAGAAGAAAACGGACATTCCACAGAAACTGTACATAGAAAGAGATTGACCTCGATTCCTACAGCTCCGCAAATTTTTTTCTTTTTTCCGTTCGAAAAAAAAGCAAATTTTATTTTTGTCATTTCATAAAAAAAAGGTGTGTGCCGGGGGGAGGGGGGGGGGGGGGGTCCCGTGGACGAATTGTAACGGTTACAAGCAATTTTATTACTTCAAAAAGTAATCAGATTACGCTTCTGATTACTGCCGAATAAAAGTAATCAACTCATTATAAAATTACTCCAAAAAGTAATCGATTACAAGTAATCTGATTACTTGTAATGCGTACGGTACAACTCTGTTGCACGTGTAACACGTGCAACAGGCGCAGGCCTGCAAAAACGCGCCGGCTTGGGTTTTCCGACTACCGTTCACGCAGTTGCAAGTTGCAACCATGGCCGTATAGCTCACCTGTACAAACCGCATTAATGTAGCTTCCGCGACATTCTTTTTTTTTTTTACGATTAAATCTGTAAAGCCTGAACAAAAACACCGTATTTGTTTCTCTATATCTGCGGGTCTCCAAAAGAGCAGATGCTGAACAATGTACGTAGGGTAGAAAACAGTATACATTCATCAGATTTAGCAGATTAGAGTTTACAGAATGAGTCAAAATATTAGATAGTTTACATTAATTGTCACCGCCTTCCACCAATGCAATTCTTCTCCTTATTATATCTGCGAACTGAACCGCAATGAACTTTTCTTTTTCGTAGACACCATTTCTTATAGTCAGTGCGTATGTGTGTGCACTTCGTCGTAAGATTTATTATTAAACTAAGATAACCGAAATAATCACACCGAAGAATATCAGTTAGAATATCAGATCGTTCGTAATTACTATAGATAATAATAGTATCCCTCATCAATGGGATAATGTGATACGAAGAGATATCATCTCGTCATGAAACTTCTCCTGAACATTTGATTATTGTTTTTTGTTGTTGTTATTGTTTTTTGTTATTGTTGTCGTTGTTGTTTCTGCGAGAACATATGCCAGAAAATAATAAGGCGGTACTTTACCATGCTTTTGTCGGGTTGAGGTGCAGGTACTTGGAACATAATGGGCGTGCCGCAGGCAGAGTCTTCGATGCTCGGGTCGACTTCACAAAACAGCTGAGGGGCGTGGGAGAAATCCAGGCAGTACGAGGCGAGGTAGTCCAGCGTAGTCACTGTGGGGCCCAACATGAGAACAATCCGTTCAATAGGTCGTTTCTGCCCAATCGCCGTAATCGTTATCAGCTACGTCATCAATCGTGATTACGTGTTGATGACGTAGCTGATGACCTCACTGAGAGTTTTTGAGGCGCATGAACGCGCAATGGATCTTTTATTACCACAGGGATCTGCCTTTTCCTTGAGAACGGAGCATGTACAGCGCTACTTTACCTGATGATGATGATGATGATGATGAGGTTACGGCTATTCCCTTTGTGACGGGCACGTTCGACCTGTATTCGTGCACCAAGCCTCGGGGTCCATTGGGAGCTTAGTTACCCCTGAGATGTACTTTTCTCCACCAGTCCTCCACACGTTGCCTTGAGGTCTTAAGAGCCAACTAGTTTGAACCCAGTTTGTCCACTGTGCGTTAGGGCTGTTGGCTTTATCCGTCACGTCCTGTATCGGTGGCTTGATGTCGTTCGTGAGTGCACTCACTGAGGCCCAAAGCATGAGCGAGCGCCAGAGGGCTCTGAGGATAGGGACCACTGAACTGTGAAGGATCGGCACTAGAGCCGTGCATTCAAGTGCAATTTGTGCTATTATTTCATCGTGGGCCCCACGCGCCCGGCACACACTCGTGGTCACAGTTGCGTCAAAGTGCCGCCTGTAGGACAGGGTCCGCAGGGCCCCGGCTCGTGCCTCAAAAAGCAATCCGCTGCCAAGGCTGTTATCGTAAAGCCGAGTCTCTGCGGCGATGCTCTGCTTGTATGTCACGTAGACATCCCCCGTCGACTTGGTGTGTGCCAGAGCCATATATGTAGAGAGTTTGGTCATTCGTTGGGAAGTATAGGAGACAAATGAGGAGGCGTCATTGGCCGAAAGCGGGCTGGGCGTGTTCCAGGGCGTCTTCAGAAATTCGGATGTGACCAACCAGAAGCCGGAAATAATACCCTGGCAATGGTCGCGAGAAACAAACCTGATAACTGCAGTAGAGTAACTCTCGATGACTGAAAATATGGTACACGTGATGTTTCAATCACGCTCATCCAAAATGATGGTGGAAGAGTGCGACTAGCGGAACGATCGACATAATCCGTACGCCAAGCGCCGAGGGCCGGGAATCTGCCGTCCGAGCGGTCACAATCTGTCCGAGCAAAACAGAGTTGAGCGGCGCATTCGTTTCTTACATCTTTCTACATGATCATGATCAAAACAACACGTGCACCCTATTTTCAACCACAAAGAGTTACTGAACTTCACTCTTACGCGCTCATTAAAACCATTTACGAACATAGACCTTTGATCAGAACGGTTTCTCGCTACCACCGCTCGGGGATTCTTTTCGGCTTCTGGTTGTTCAAGAGAGCATGCCAAGCCCTCTTTCCGAATCTGGTGCACGCCCTGGCTCTGCCCGCGCCTCTGGTGGCTCTGGTGTGTGCCACCTGGAGTCACTGTTGTGTCTCAGGATCTCGGACCATCTGCCGGATCTCCGAGTCCAGTTCCCGTACCGTCAATGCTTGTACGGGGTCAGCAAAGAAACCATGTTTGCGTTATTGGGGCTGATTTAAGCGTCTTTTCCAGCGGGTTTGTAGTCCTGTGAGGTGGGTGTATCAGAACACCCTACTGGCCTAACGGCAGGTGTCCGTGTGTCGACGCCATCCGTTCAACATAATTTTGTTGTTCGCTTCCCGAGTCTCAAAACAGGACCGGCCCAGGTCACCCTGCACGGCTTCATTTGGTGCACTCCCGTGGCAGCCAAGCGCCTGGCGGCCAACCTCTCTTTGCCCTGAGCTTGGACATCTCCTGGGGCGCATACCACAGCGTTAGCAAAGGTTCATCCAGGCACCACCACCACCTTTCACACAGCCCTAGACACAATGAACCTATTGCAACTCCAGAGGCTTCGTTTTTTGAGAATGATGGCTCCTCGAGTGACTGCTTGGCGAAGGTGAGCGTGGTGATCTTTCAAGTAGTCGTCTGGGTTTGACAGGATGGTGCCCAAGTATTTGTACTCGCTGAGGACTGGCATATGTGGTCTTCACACGGTCTAAGGTCGCCCAGTG